TCCCATATTAACCATTCAAAATGTTTATCAATGAAATTAATTACAAAGTCAATTGCATTCCCTTTCAACCTAGAATGCCATATTGGCCCAATATTGGCCTATCAAAATCTATATACATGTACAAGATGTTCATATGTAATTAAAGGGCTCAATATTTATATATAAAAAACTGAAGGAGCCAATATTTTGCCTAAGACCTTATAGTGAAAAAATGGATTTTCAATTCAAAGACTGACAAATTTCAAAATGTTGTGCAATTCTAATAGATTATAAAATTAATATGCTCAACATTTTTTTTCCAAGGCCTAAAAGCTTAAGCATTTTATTACAAGATTTCAACACATGAAAAAATCTGCTTTTTGTCTACTTTAAAGCATTTAATATTTCCCAAAAACATAAAATACTACATCATAAAAAATTTGATCTCAGTAAATAAAATGCAAGTTAAGTTTTAAGTCATAAAATATACAGGTCATAAAAAACAACAAAACATCCAAAAATAGATATAAAAATATTGACAAATATTAAATGTACAAAATCCTCTTCAATGTTAGTGATAAACACTCCTTTTAGATTTTTAAAAAGTGTCTGTCTGGAGTTATCTCCTGGAAAAAAATGTTATCTTCCCAAAAGTAGGTTTTGAAAAAAAGAAAGAAAAAGATTTTACCTTTAACGCAAAGGGGGTTTCTTTAGGCAGGTAATTCATGACAAGAAGGGATGGTTGAGCTTTATTTAGAAATAACAGATTATGAAGTAAAACTGTTTATCAGGTGGACTTTTAACAGAGGTTGTTTTAAGCAGATGATTCTGTGTAAAGCATATGGCAGTCAATAATGAATGGTTCTGTCAATTTTTAGTGTTATTTTTTTTTAAGAATTGGGATCTTATTTAACTATTTTACAAAACAACAATAAATGAATCATAAAATCAAAGCAAAATTTAGAAACCCAAGAAAGATTTGTACTAGTACTTCATTTTACTGACCTGAACAGAAAAATTTTCCTTCGGAAGACTGTATCAATTCTCACAAAGTTTCTGGTTATCATTAAAAGGTGGAAAATAGTAACTATGACCTATGACATTTTCATGACATCATACTTATGACATCATATTCATGACATCATACTCATGACATCATAACTATGACATCAATATCATGACACTATAATCATACTCAATACTAAAGTTTGATACATAGGGAGTAAGAAAATAGACAACATCTATATTAAAACTCATACATTTTATTTTCAAAAAAAAATCTTTCAGTCATTTTTCAACAAACATGATAAAATATTTCAAAATAAATATAAAAAAAAATTGTACAAGCAAAAACAAAAACTGTCTCTATAACAATGTAAAAACAGATATATACATAATAAATGCATTTTAAAACTCATTTAATTCCTAAAATGACATGAAAAATCACTAAAGCTTTTAATGTGTAAGTTAAGTTAACATTAAAGTGTATCCAGACAAAATATCATTGTGTAATAGTATTTTATCATTTACATATTAAAACACTCAAAATATTTATCATTAAAATCTGTATTTTAAATGAAATGCTGCAGTAAATTTCTTCTTAATTTTCATCAAATCATAAATTCTATATATATCTTATGTAACCCTATCATTATTCAGAATATCTGGTGAATTTTAAGCTTAAAGGATGTAAGGGGGGTGGGGCAGGGAGTGGGGAGGAGTAATATTTGGGCTAGTGCATTATCTTAGGCACTGGCATGTACTTTGGTAGGTGGTCAGAAAAATCAGCATTCTTCAAAAAGATAGAATGGAAAAAAAAATTGCCAAGTGTGATTTTCTCTTTTAAACGTTTCTCTTTACAATACACTATCTTTATCAATCTTATCAATGTGTTTTTTAAAAAAAAATAATAAAATAATAAAAAAAGAAACAACAACTACAAAAAGCAAACATATCCATCAGGATTTTGCCTGCTAAATTTGCTAGATAAAAAGTATTAAAATGCTAAAATTGAGTTTGTTATTTTGCCAAATAAAAGAAAAAATCTGTAGGCATGCCCCTTCAAATAAGAATATTAAAATTATTCATGTCACAAGCTTAATACATGGTTACCAGACCAAACAAGCAAGTATATCCTGGATTCAATTTGACAATGATTTGTCTACAAAAGATTTGTAAAACACTGTTAAACAAAAAAAACACCTGCTAGTCATAGATCATATGTTGTATAGACAGGACCAATTATCATCATCTATCATCTCAATTATATTTATTGAATGACGCTATTTATTAGAATAAAAGTTAGATATAATATCATTCGAATAAACAAGTTTAAAGCATAAAATATAATTTTATAAACATAACATTATAATAGTTTTACCATTTTAATTTTCTTGGCCGTAAGTCATATGTTGTTTTTTAAAATTTCTAAATTCATTCTTAAAGTTTTGGAACAATTGCCACTCAATAAAAAAAAGTCTCATCTACCACCCCATCCCTATCCCTCCAAAATATGAAGAAAAAAAAATTCATTAAAGATAACAACTAGTTACAATTTCACCACGTTTTTTTACAAATGTTGAAAATTAAAGAAAATTATATGCTTCATTGCGGACCTTAGGTCACCACTTTACTTTTATTGTTACCTTTCTTCTGAACTTTCCCTCTCTACAGAAGGAAAAAAAATTGTAATTGAACAACTCTATTACAATCAAATGACATCAGGAAAAAAATCATAATGAGATCTTATTGTAATTTTTTTCTATTTCTCTAATTCCTAGATAACTTCATCAATAGAAAAATCTCTAGACTGAGTTATTTTTTCTGTAATTGTACAATTATCCCGTACAAAAACTACCTTCTTTTGAAAAAAAATTGAAGAGCAGTGCTATTAATAGCTTGTCATAGAAAAAAATTCTTTGTAAGCTTATTATCAAATTGCTTTATAAAACGATTCCTCTGTAATCAGCTTTAATAGAAAAAACAATAGGGGTCGATAACATTCGTAAAAAACACACCCGTACAACATGTGCCTAGTAATTGCACAAGGACGCAATTCACATAAAACATTCGAAAGGTCTATGAAAAAGTTGAACTTTATAATCAAAAAGCAATTTTTCTTCCAAGAAAATGAAAAATAAAATAATATGGCCCCTTACTTCCTTTCCATATTTAAGAACGTAATTGACTGTATTTCCAAATACATCCGAGATGGATTTATCTTTTTAAGAAAAAGTTCATCTGCAGGTGAAAAAAAATGCTAGTAAAACTACCACTCAGCTCAATATCAGAGGCCATTTCATGTTGGGTAGAATAACAGTAAGGGCTCATTCAAGTGCAATGTCAGGAGTTATAAGCCAAGTGTCTGAAATGACTTGTAAACTCTAATATTCTAAATTTTCTGAACACAAATATAAAAGTTTCTGTATAATACATCAGTCACTAAATAACTTCAACAATCCTCTGTCCCGAACCACTGGCACATATTACACAAAAAAGTGTCAAAAACTTTCCGCTCAACTTTTGATTTTGAATAATGGCATCCTTCACTATATGAATAATGAATAAATTCACCAAATGAATAATGACACACATAGTTCCATCATACTGAATAATGACATCTGAAATATCCATTCATAGACCAAAGGCAAACTAACTGCTGTATAAACTTACAGGGAAAACATTTATTCATTAACAAGCAGTTTTTCATCAATTTTCACACAAGAAAGTTGATCAGAATTGGGGAGGAAATTATATATAAGCTGGAAACCCTTAGGGTTCAATGATTTTGAAAAGTACAACATAAATAATATCACAAATCAATAACAATGAAAGAAATAAACAAAAACTATATACATTATACAATAGACCCTGAGAATCAATATCTTACAATGCAGTAGTTATTCCTTTGCAATAAATTTAGACTGTGTCTATAAAATTGGCAGATAATACGTGTAGATGAAAAAAATCTTGTGACCCAGTCTTATGAAATTGTATTTTCATTTGTTTGCCAGAATGAGGCTACAGTAATATCCAATCAAATGCTGTTATTTTGAGACGTTCATTTCCTGACTCTGACAAGAAAGAGTTTCAAATTGTATTTTTGATATCTGAAGAACTAACAAGCAAAAAATTTGCTTTTTAAAACTTTTTTTTCTGTTTATTTTGTTTGCTGATAAGTAAAAACTACCTGCAGTAGAAAAAGACTAGAAATGACTATAGAGATATGAAAGGCTGTATCAATTAAGTTCAAAAAGAAATTGGAAGAAAGAAATCTAACAAAGTTTTAATTCTGCTGTTTTCTGACCTGAATACAGGACAATCTACTTTTCTGTTCTCGGCAAGAATTTTGACAAGCTATTATTATGGCAGGTAATCCATAACAGTTTTTTTTTTCAACATTTTCATAAATAACTTCTTTTTTTTTTTTAAAGGAAAATAAATATTTCATTTGCCTCATTTCACATATTTCTGGCAGGGTTTTGTGTATAAGTGTACAATATATAGTCACAAGAGTCATGCAAAATAGCTTTAAGCAGAGCAAGCATGCAAAATAAAGTTTAAAACCCTTATTATTTTTCCCACTTCCTATAATATATATATAAAAAAAATTTGATACAGCAGGACACCCACAAGTGTCTTCTGAAAGTCAGTTTGAAGAACTGAATTCTTGTTGTAAAATTATAAAAATCATATTCACTTAACAGACGAGAGAAAAAAATACTTTACAAGTATATTCTACAAGGAAATGAAATGAAAACTTAAATATATACATATACAGCCTATGACTATGTATAATCAATGGATCTATGGTAATAAATGATTGAAAGTGTTTTGCTCAAAGTCCTACTGATTGCCCTATTAAATAAGCCAAAATTTTTGGCCATTTCTTTTTTCTTTTGAAAGTTTTCTATTATGTTTTTACAAATAAAAATTGAAAACAAAAGCCGTCACATCACAACACAATTTACGTGCCACTACGACTTGCGCTCTTCTGAAAAATTTAACAACGCCTGAACTACCTCTGCTTCTGCCTCCGCCCTTCGTTCTTGTTCTTCTCTATAGTGACGCTGACGATTTTCAAAATCTTGAAGCTGTCTCTGATATTGGTCCATTTGTTGCCGTAATAAATTATCTTCTACCTGAAAAAACGTAAAAAGAATAATCTCAGTTAATGTTTTTTTGGTTGCCTTTTTTTCCCCTCAAGATTTCTCCTTAATAAATAGCCTTATTGTGTGTTTTTTCTTTCTTTTTTTTCGTGTTACAGAATAAAAAGTTATTGTTGTTTTGTAGTAAGCAATGACAGGCAACTATCACTATATCACAGCCTTGTCTTCCATGTTCCGAAAGTTTTATTATTAGGGGTGTTTTCCCCATAAAATTTTATGGACTTTAGGTGTCATTCAACTATTTAAAAATCATCCCCTTTCAGCTTTAAATAAAGAAAAAACAAACTGTAAACTGTATTTAGCAAAACTACATTGAATGGTACACGAGCATGTATAGTTTGAAAGAATAAGACGATCAAATAGATTTACCATCGAGAGAACGTTTATTCAGCAAAGTTGCAGCAGTTGAGAGGATATCATAATCTATCTTTTCTTTTATGAAGAATACCATCAATCTAACTCAAAATCCTATTCATGAAAACTGATCACCTATTTCATGGCTTAATTTTTTATGTAAAGTAAATCGTTTCTACGTTATTGTAATCGAAATTGATCAATTTTATACGAGACTATCGTAAAACACTTTGACACGAAATGAATCCAAATGTAACCACATATTCTATAAAAACTGATACACCAAAAAACTATTATTAAACTGGTTACCTATTGAATATGTGCATTAAACTGATTATTTTATTAATTTTTTATCAGTATGTTTTTATAGCAGAAAAGTAACTTGACCCATGTCTTTTTATAAGGATTTTATTTGCATGCAAAAAGTTTTCGTCTCTGCCTTTAAAGAAAACAACTCTATTCATCTATTAATGAGAAGCAAATTTAAACTGCTTTTGAATTATTTAAAATACTTATTATAAAAAAAATGTTCCCTGCATTTTTATATACAAAATAGTGTATGCAAATATAAACTTTACAGGAAAATGATATTCATCTCATATTCATTAAATGAATAACCATCTAAAAATTATGATAAGATCACTAATTACAGTCATTTATATTATTTGATAATACTCTGAATTGTTTTTGTCTTATATAGGTAATAAATCATCATACATTTTTCAAAACAAAATATACATTATCACCAGAAAAAAACCATGCATCATAATACTGTCAAGCAAGCCTCAAAACAGTCCCATATAAATAAGGATTAACCTTCCAAAAAGGACTAGCATTTTAAACAGCAGAGCCACTCTTAATAGAGCAAAAACACCATTGCAATTAAAAAACTAATTATTTTCAAAATAAATTAAAAAAATCTTAACCCATCTATTTTCTCATCTGCCAAAAAAAAAATGTAAGTAAAAGATTATACATTATCCTAACCAGTATTTAAAGAACCCAAAGAGACCTGAGCAAAACTTGAGAGTTTTAAAAGTCACTGCAAGTAGAAATACATTAACAGTGCAGTTTGCAATGCAGTTATTGATCCAGTTAACAGCCTGGGGAAGACACTACTGGAAAAGCCACTGCAAAAGGACAACAAATGCAACCAAAATGCAACATCTTTATATGACTCAATTTGAACTCTCCTTTTACTTTCTTCTTTATCCAAAAGCAGAAATGAAGAATTATTGATAACAATTTAATGACTATTACAAATCACTGTTTTTTCCTTTTAAGCTTAATGAATATGTAACTGCTTTGATATTGCAACAGCTGAGAGTGGTTTTACAAGACTTTGGCTTGCTCCCAGAGGCTGGCTGAATTAAGGACTACACTTGAAGCATTAAATAAACAGGCTAAATGTGCAATTTAGCACTTAACTCCTGTGGAGTTATAAGTTTTAATTGCTTTTAATTTGCTCTGAAGTAGAAGAACAGGCAGGCTCCCTGCATATGGCCTTGCCTTACCATTTTACAAGCATCATTAAAAGACACAAGCATATAAAATGGTCTCTGATTCAAGCAGCAGCTGATGCAATGGTTCTCCAGTCTAGTGTATTGATTTTCTTTGTCTTTTTGTTTCTTGTTAAGCAGGAAAAAACTTGTATTTTCCATAACATCCTGCAGAACTACTGCAGTTCCTGTTCACAGATCTGAGTTACAGACAGCTGCTATGTGATACCCTCAGTGATAGCAACAACTTTTTCTGCACCAAACATCATGTGCACATTTAAAACCATTGCAAGGTATTGCCTTTGTGCTTTGTCTTATCTTGACACCATATCACCAAAGGCAGATGTGCCCATTCTGAAGGTCAGTGAAACCCGGGCAATCGGGGCTGTAAATCAACACGCAATCACTCACAGCTTCACATCGTAATACGGTAACCATGACAAATGTATCGATGCAAGAGTTCATTGCAGCATCTCATTGCTAGAATTATTATATCTGCACATGTTAAGCAAAGGAAAAGCAGCATATGGAACAGGGTAAGAAACCACAAACATGTGCCTTCTTAGCTCCATCTATAGTGGCTCTTTGTGTCAGGGTTTACACAACTGGCCATACTGGGGTCCCAGCAATGAGACATACTTTGTTTTAGTGTGGAATCGCACATCTGCAAGATGAAGCGAATCTCAGAAACACACATGAATCATCCTTGAAATACAGGATTTCTACCACTTTCTCTGTTCTATATGTCACCTATAACTCTATTTCCCAGGCAAAAAAGCAGTTCAGAAGACATTATTCAATCCTCTATCTATGACCAAACTACAGAGAACAGACTGTTTTAATCAGTGTTCAAGTTCTCAAACTTAATGATAGAGAGGCACTCTGAGAAATTTGTTTTTTGACTTAAAAACAGAGGGAGATAGAAAAGGGATGAAAATGGGATGTGGAATCTTGTGAAATATGCTATCACCAACTTAAACAAAGCTTCATCATTTTAACATCAATTAGTTAAGAGGTTCTCAGATGCATTTTAAGCTCACACATGCTGTGGTTTAACAGATTCTGTCCCATCTCTGCATTAATCTCTAAATATTGGTTTTAAAGGTGTGAAAACAACTGCTTGCCTCTGCTGAGTTTGCCCACATTCCACACGGAGAGAAAACCTAACTTCACTGTGAATGTCTTCAAAATGACAGAAAATAAAACCATTTAAGACTTCTTAACAAACTTAATGTTCAAACTATTTAATTCATTCAAAATTAGTAATGTGTGAAGTTGTTTTATTAGCCATTTCGTGATATCAAATATTTAGAAGGGGGTTTTTCTTTATCAATTATTCAGTTTACAACAGCACCATATTTAAGCAGTAAAAGATTACAGTATTTCCTGAATGTATAATTATCAAAACAACTACTCCTAATTGTTTTATTTAATGTCCGCACAGGTTTAAAGTAAATATGAACATATTTCATCGATTTTAGCTATTTTTCAATTTCAAATTTGGTGCTAAAACAACTTTATGACACCTTCAATGTGAAGAGTTAAAAACAAGGGAGAGCAGCTGCAGTTTTCCAATATTTGCATCAATGTGCAGGCAACATGTAACCACTGCATTTACCCACGTTCACTGCATGCTAGATTAATCTAACTGAGGAGCACATACTTGCAAACAAAAAAGATGATTTCAACTATTTATCTGTTTAAGATGATTTTATAAAAGTTAATCCAACTAGCAAAATGAAAATAATTTTCCACATGAGAGAGTTTATTATGAGGAGTTGCATTGCAGCCTTTAGGCCTACACTTCTATGCATTATGTTTAATTCAAACAAACAAAAAATTAATATTATACCATAGACATCAGTTCAGCACCCACTTAAAGCTGATTTTTTTTTTCAAATTGTTTCTATGAAACTTTAAAGGGAAATTTTATCATATTTATCAAAAGCCTCATTTTTTTAAGGAATATAAACTTTGTAAACATGGTATGTTATGTAACGATGTTATAATGAATAAACATTCAAATCAATGTCTGGTTTTCGTTTGTATTTCATTTTCTTTTTTAAGCTGTTAACAGTTCAGAATATTCTTTTTCACCAATCAATTTTATAACACATAATAAAATCTATTTGCGTTGATATTATTTTAAATAATTAACATACCTATTAAAATAATTACGTAAACTTTATTTAAAACTTAGGCTGCAAGTGGCAACAGATATTTCATATGTGACAAGTGCAGATCAAGGTCAGCTGGCACATCAATGCCATCTTATCATGGTCTGCATTGGTTGCTTTTAGTCAGTAATTTTTTTAAGAATATTGATGGTTTTGTGTAGATAAAGGGAGGGACCAGTCCATTGTGTTAAAAGTTTTTTAGCTACAATGTGACAAAAGTATAAGGCTTTGCTCTGCTACTCTTTAGTCTGCGTCTAAGCACTTGTGTCACATTAGCAAACATCATGATCATAATAGGGCTTGAACCTTCCTTTCCTGTGCTGAGAGGCAGACAATTTGACCTCTAGCCAACCTCTCTCTCTCTATATATATATATAATATTATGAACTGGGTACATTGCATGGACTGAGTATCAATTTTAATTCAATACTTTTGATTTCTAAGGCCGAATATTCAAAATACCTTCTTATTTTTCTAGTATCACATTGATTCTTTTAAAACAACCACTTTTACTTTCATATCTCTAGAAAAATGTTATTTTTAAGAAAAATTTGTATTAAAGGACAGTATTATAGTTTCTTGATTAAGTGACACCTAAAGTTATACTGCATATATATCTATAGAAGAGTTACATTTTCAAGTTTACATTTATTACAATTATATCACAGTGTGATTTAAGACTTTGTAAAATCTTAAAATAAAGTCATATATCAACATAGCTATTGAAAGAGACATATTTTTCAATCTGTATTGTTTTTTTCTTAACCCGCAGAATGTCAATATAGTAACAGAATACCCATTCATACTGTATTCCAAAAGAAAATTTACCCCCACCAGCTGGTAACTTCCAGCTAAGTTTTGACAATCATTGGTTTCACTTTCTTTAAAAATTCTTAAATGATCACTTTTATACCGTTACATTACATGAAAGCGGAAAAAAAAATACAGAGAAAAATAGAAAACATTATACATATTCATCCTTTTCAAATGGATGCCAATATAAAATTTTCTAAATTTTTAGCATCATATTTTTTTTATATGTATATATTTAAGTTAAATAAGACTTCAGCTAGCTTACATATTCAGATCACTGGGGCCTTACTAAGTGTCTATTCTAGGAGGTGGATGGGGGATTCACTCATATTTTTGAGAATTCCCCCCTATTTTTTCACAGAGAGGGAATTTTTACAAAGAGAAAGAATTTTAAGGGAAAAAATTCAACAGATGTAATAAATTAACACTTTTCGATAAACCCCCCCCTATTTTTCAAATCCTTGAATAGACACTGCTTACTGATGTTGGTTCGAATCCCACCAGGTTCTCGGATGGCTTTTATGAATGGAAGCCAACGTGTTAGCTAATGAAAACTCTGAGGCACTGGTCTATCAAGTACCAGCATGTGTCTGACTAATGTTTGATGGTGTACTCTAGGTTTTCCTCCAATAGTAAAGCTTGAAAGTCATCATTTGACATTTTGACAAACTATGTTTTGACTTAAAATCAAACAAAATATATTTGAGCTGTGTCATGACAAAACCAACATAATGGGCTTGGGATTACCAGCATGGATCCAGATCAGCCTGCGCTTCTGTGCAGTCTGATCAGGATCCATGCTGTTCGCTTACCAACCCTATTAAAAGTAGAGAAACTATTAGCGAACACCAAGGATCCTGATCAGACTGCGCGAATGCGCAGGCTGGTCTGGATCGATGCTGGTCGCAAATGCACTATGTTGGTTTTGTCATGAGGCGGATCATTTTACAAAACAAGACAATTAGTAAATGATTACTTACCATTGCCCTTTCGGCATCATACTCTATGCTGCCTATCCCGTCTAATCTAGTTAAATCTACCCATCCTTTCCATATTACACATACACCATTGAGTATAAACTGTGATTTTAAATGTACCTGAAATTAAATAAGATCATATTTATTATATAATTGTATTGAATATTTCACAAGTCCCACCATGAATAATAGCCAAAGAAATTAGTAAAAACTTGTCTTTATTGCCATGCTAAGTTAGCCTAACCCAGCACTGACACAGCACCCAGGGATAAGAGAAAGGGGAGTGGGGGAGGGGGTATTACTTATTCCTGATGTAAAGGGGATTGGGGAGGGGGGGGTATTTTTTTTTATTACTGATGTTTTATCTTTAAAGTGTTGGTTTCATTTTCCTAGCTCTACAATGTAATTGAAACTGAATCAAGATGATATTAATTTGCATTCAGATAAATAAGTTTATATATAAAAAAAACAACAACAAAAACGAACAGCACTGTTTGACTATGTATGTTATGTTTTCTAGGTCCACATAGAAAGTTTTAAGCAGGAAGATTATTTTTCAAAAGTAGACATTACAAACTAGATATATGATCTTACAATTGCATGGTTGAGTATTGATGTATCAAGCACAAAAACTGTATTTACAGTATTGTGACATAATTCGCAGGCAATAATTTCTTACTTTACTTTTTTTTAAATTACAAAGCATGTTTAAAAAATCTAATCAATAAACAATTATGTTGCAAATAATGCTATTTTTGTTAACGGTTTTAAAAATATTCCGCTTCTTTCTTTCTTCGTCGTTGTTGTTGTTCTTTTTCACCAGCCTAAATACGTTACTTTTTCCCCCGCCTACAACATTACAAGATCAAAGACTAACAAAGCTATTGTCGACTGCTGTTATTCATTTATGCTGTTAGACGTCTTCTTGTAAAACCTTAATCAGTTTTATAGAATCAATTGCTTACTAGACCTAAATCTATGCAAAGCTTCAATATTTATGCACGTTTTGCGCGTGCCAACGTAATATACACGCTGTCACACTTAAAAGTTATCGCGTGAAATGCACGCTACTGTACTGTAAAAGTTTCTTGAGTTGGAAAATTGTAATCGTGTATCTTTATCAAATTTATTAATTTAAACAATAATATATTTCTAAGATCTTATTTCATTAGCTTCTAATTTTATTTGAAAATGAGAACAGATTATATTTTTTGGCCATGGGGGCTCGTAAAAATTACATATTCATGTTGAATACTCGCGAGGATCAAATAAATTTGTTCAATGCATTGTGTAAGTGTTAAGTATCAATTCATTACTTGTTCATCTCTATGTAAAAATAACATTTCACCAATTACATTTCTTAAATTTAAAACCTTGTCGCGTCAATGATGAAATCATTAACTTTTTGAAAAATCACATAATTAGATATAGATCTATCAATCTATTAATCTTGTATGTTGTTTTAAAGTCGTCATGTGTTTAACAACAATATTTGAATAAATATGCCTTACATAATAAAAAAAAATTTTTTTAGTAAAATAATTGAAAGTAATATTAATGACACATTATATAGTTCTATCGGGGTATAATATTTCAACTAGAATTTTCCTGCTAATGGAACACCTTTTGTACTTAAAAGTTTACATATGATTTAACCTAAAGTTCGTCGACACAAAGGTTATACTACAAACATTAATTAATCTTTTCTGAGTAACGCACATTTATTTATTTTTGTTCAGCTATTTTATTTAAGACTATTCCATATTGTGTTTAAGCTCACTAAATGACATACTCGTATTCTGTCTAGAAATAAATCGTTACAGTTTCAGATGCTAAAAGGTATACAATTGTTTATGTATATATGATCAAGGTAATAAAGGTGGATGATAAAACATAAGCCTGTGTAAAATTAGTTCAATGGGTTAGTATCAGGTGACTATACTATGATATTGGCATCATCTTTATGCGGAGGAGTGTTTGTGAAAACTACCGCGGTAATGTATACAGTACACTAATCTTAGTCATGTATGCATTTCGCAACAATCTATGTAAATTGGTGGTTATTTGGTTCAGGTTTTACTACTGATATCATTTAGTACAGATGAGTTGTGCTGCATTTCATTAAATGTAAACAACAAATCAAAACGATGCTTGATTATTATTTACTGCTACATTCAGGTTCCAGTACATTTATTACAACGATTTAAGAAAGAACAGAAGAAGAAAAAAATAATCGATTTAAGAACAATTTGTAGGAGTTAATATTAAGCAGTTGAAGCAAATATTGCAAAAACGTCGTCGACAAAATACTGTTGACGTTTTAAATACTTGTTTTCTGTCGGGTTTGTTATCAAGAGTCGTCAAGTAATTAAAATTAATTGCTTTCAGAGGTCATAACATATTGCCTTTTTTCAAGTCCAGATGTAAGGGGCATGTCAATTTATTCAAAAAGAATTGACGGGAAAAAATGACTAACAAGTCAAAAGGGCGAATCAAAGGTTATGTTAATTCCTTAAGGAACAGTTATATTGCGCAACCCTTATTAGTGATAACAATTCGATGAATAACCTTGAATAGTCTAGCACGTGCGTTCATTCACTCTTTTCATTGTCCGTAGACTTCCTGTAGGGTTATTAACTTTCTGACAGTTGTTATTCGATCAATTAAAGTTCTTCTCAGTGATCTATGGCGGAAAATGTTTCATTTCTCAATATGGTCACAGTTGCTTCATAATAGGTTGAAGCATAAACAGCGGCACGGTTGACTGGGTACTTAGCTGGTGATTGAACTTGAGGTGAAAATAGGAAGTACATTTTTTCTCGAACATTATTCTTAAAGAAACAACAATTAGTAAATAAATCAAGTGTGGTGATACGCATTCTAAGTTTTTTTGTCATAAATAAGTTTGAGCTCCAATTTAATTTTAATTGATATTGATATTCTGCCTAATTGAAAAAAGCTTCTGAAGTCTGATCTCAACATGATAAGGAACCCAAAGCAAAATAACGCACAAAAAGAAAACACAATCGTATTGGAATGACGGTATTATTATCCGGACGTCACGCAGCGCAGTACTTTTTTACTGTAAAAAGACCAAACTTGATTATGTTTGTGCGCTATCGAACAGATTTTTACCTCCAAATTTAACAATTGGGCAAAACTGCAATTTCAACTCGAGCGGCCTTTTACGCAACATGGAGGCGTCATTAGACACGATGAAAAACGTGGGCTATTCAATCGAGCGGCAGTCATTTAAAAAGTAATTCAAGGGTCATGTTTGGTAAGTGATCAATTAGAGTGGGTTCCTAAAGTTTGCATCATGTCACACTTTATTCATTATTATTAAACATTTCCGACTGACCGCGCGCACAGACTTAAAAATTATCGTTTATTTAAAAACAGCGTTCTGCCTATTTCTAATTCCGACATTTTTTTTAAATTTCTCTCATTCTGTATTAGTGATCGCGATAAAAGCGTATTAATTACTGATTGATTGCAAGTTTAATCAAAGTCTAAATCCGAAAAGTATCGATTTTCTACTAAAAGGTTGGTTTCTTGACCTTTCTTCAACCCATTCGTCTTAAGTAACTTACTAGAAGCATTTTTTATGTGGGACTATTCATACAGTTCGACAGTTTCATTAACAGAATGAAAATGAAACAATTAAACCATCAATAAATTTTCCATTGACACCTGGAATTCATAAGCATTTAAGAATCCAGAATGAGATTTTATTCATGAAACTACGAAAATATCGACATAGCAAAACTGTAACATTCTTAAGGGACGCAACCGCTATAAAATTATAAAAGTCTGATATAGAGTTATCCTTTTCAGGCTGGATACGAAACATAGACAGGAACAAAAGTTGAGAAGATAATTATTTCCAATATTCACCAACACGGAAGGTTTACAAGGTCAATAAGCTCCCGATTACTATGATAGCAGTGTCACGAAATTACTCGTAGGTGTGTATAAAAGCGCAGGTGAGATGATCACGTGCACGGATATGTATACTAATGCCTCAAATTATCAAATATACTTTTTGAACTGTGAATACACTACGAGGAGGTTCTAAAAAATCGGTAAAGACACGAAAAATAATTAAACCTTTGTCGAAAAATGGGAAAGGGGGACATTTATTATTTTGCAATACATGTTGTAAAGATATTGTAAAGATATGAGACCGTTATAAATTGTTACAGTTAGATGATATATTTATTTGTATACAAATTACATAATGATGTTGTTGTTTTTTTTTGTCATAAGTTTCGTGATAAAAGAGTTCGTGTAGAACGGTTATATTTCTTCCCTTCGTATCAGAGGTGTCACTTCTGTTCCGGAATAAAAAAAAATGCCCCGGCGTTGACGATTGAAATAAAATGGACGTGGATGTACTTATAAATTACCTTTTCGTAAACAAAACATATTTACGACCCAAACGTATTTAGATATTTCAGTGATGTATTCATACGCAAACACTTTCACTGAAGCGTTTAAATAACAACACGTAATAAAATAGTTTCTTAATCACAAAGAGTCTTTTGTTTCTTTTTGCCTCATCAAGGAGAATATATGCATTCTACACTTTCGGTGCGTTCTTGTATAGTATATTGATACTTGTATATATTTATTCGAGACATGTTGTTGTTTTCTCAAACCATTGGGAATATAAAACACGAGTATCTTGTACGCATTTTAAGTTTGCGAGCATTTTGAGTTTGCGACGTCCCTTTTTGAAAATTAAACGTTAAATTTTATTCAAAGTTAAGCGTGTATGATAGGTTGTACTTACTTTCCCTGGTTCTCGATCGAAATTTACAAATTCAGGAGTCGGTACACGGTCATCGGGATTTTCTGACCAAGCATTTGGCGTGAACTGTAACTGTAAGTTGATTCCTGTTGCAACGAACGCCTGTTAATGGAATGAAAATGATTGTTAGTAATTATTAAATAACCAATAAATACAAGACTTTTAAGTCACTCTAGGAAACGCTGAAAATCAGCGTCTTAACAAAAAAAAATAAAATAACACGCATCGTGAAAATCAAAACGCAATGTTATGACCGACGTAATTTCTAATTTATGTTTTACACGTTATTTCTCGGCAAAATACACTTTTATTTGAACTTTCAGTAAACGTTTTTTTAAGCATTCTGATAAAAATGGTTTTACTTTTACATCAATGGTCGAAAAAAGTAACGTTTTAAAAACAAAACGGGGTTGAAGAAAAGTCAATCTTTTGACTATTATGGCTGATTCAGTCCAACATGACGGCGGAAAAAATAAGCATGGAAATAAAACCAACTCGTGCGTACATGACATTTAGCAAATAGGTCAATATTTAGTTATTATTATATATATATTATAAACCTTTGAACGAATATGATAAAATGATACAATATACTTTTTATTTAAAAATAATACATTGTCATAAAATTGATCTTTAAAATACAAATTTAAAATTATCGCATTTGAATTTCACGAAAATATCATCTTTTGAAAATATTACGATTTCAAAAAAAAAATCATTCTTGTGCCACTTAATACATATACTTTGCTTTGTTCAGCAGTTCAACGGGTTATTTACGTATAAAGATTAAATATAACTTTGGCATCCTCAGATCACCAATGGTCGTCATAATTTTGGACATATAGTATTCGTAACAAAATAATAATAATAATAATAATAATAATAATAATAATAATAATACCTGTAAGTGAAATAGAAGATAAATTAATTTACACGACTCCATACAACCCGAATGAGAATATCATTTTTCACTTAACAATACTTACAATTCATAGTAATGTAATACGTGCTTACTTTAATTAAGGAACAATATGTCAGTTAAGTACACAATTCTGGATAACACCTACATAATTTGGTATCTTTATACAGAATGACTTCGCACTATGAAACTACTTATTAATTCATTCATTCGCGTTTTAAACAAAGGGCTTCTTTAACGTGTATAAAATAATATCTCACTATTTATAGTTTTTGATTATATACTGCAAGTTAGAGATTTTACATTTATTAAATATATATAGTTTATATCACTCTATAATAGCAAGCATTATATAGGTGAAATAATGATTGACAACATAATCTAATATAAGTCATTAACTAATATGTTAAGACGTTTATCAGCGTATACATGTTTTATCAAACGTATCCACGACAAACGCGGAAATAAGACGTGATATGAAAATACATCTTCAAGGAAATGAATGACTTCTAAGTATTATTCACGGTAATTATATATATGTATATCAATGATAAAACTAGAAGTTATCTTAACTTCTTTGAAAATGTTATAATAAACAGATAAATATATCTCTCTTTAAATGTAGGCGACTCGATGCAGGTTTCATGTTAACAGAAAAAAAAAACTTCCGTGAAGAAAAAACTGTACTTTTTTAACTTTGAAACAATACGCCAAAATCTCTACGAAAACAAATCCGGACAAAATATAGAGAAGGTATGAAAAGCTGTATTTAAACGACTTGACAATCCTGTACGTTACTCATGATTATTATACCATGACATACCTAAGTACGTTTAACATTGTAATACAACGAATAGCTTTTAAAAAGTACCTACCAGGTCAGCATGGCCTTCACGACATTCTGTTTGAAATCTCAGCTGCCTCTCTTCTATAGGTCGGTCTTTAAATCCAGTATATTTTATCTGAAAAGAAAAGTAATCCATAGAACATATATAAAATACACTTTAAACACTTATACACACTATGTATATTCCAACGTAGAAAACTGCACTTCCGGGTGAATAAGATAATGAAAACTTAACAAGAAAACTACCTCTCCCTCTCTGGAAAGTTTTCTAAATAGTTCGTCATTATCAAATTTCGATCTCTGGTCAGGTACCACTTTTGGCATGACTCTATGACAGTTTTTAGTGACTTCTCCCAACAGTACGTCCGTTTCAAATGGTAACATGCTTAAACTGAGACTTTTCATTCAAGCAACTGTACAATAATACCGCATGACTCGTGTTAACTCACCTCGCCGCTGATTGGCTGTTGAAAATATTTCGTGAATGTTCGGATAATCACCGGAATGGAACGAAGAACCATATATGGGAACGTTCGGTAAAATCCGTTTGCTACGGAGATGATGCGATCTGACGTCACACGTAAATCGTCCAATAGTCGTTCACATGTAAATCAGCGGTAAGGAATGTAATTATGGTCTCCCGTATAAGGTAATTTACTACGTCACAACTAATTAATTATTCATGAGATTGCCTTATAGGGATGGTTTGACCCAGATAGCGTGAGAAAAAACTTTTACTACGCTAGGTAATCCCGTACTATGTAGTAAAAGCGTGGTATTTCTAATGGGTTAAAATGTAAACAACCTTGTGTTGTTTATAGAAATCCCTTTCAAAATTAGAAATGTGATCAAAAGCAACATATTTTAAGCATAATTGAATTCGGATGCATTTAAACACAAAGGTGTGTTAGATGTTCAATTATAAACTTGTTATTGTTTATTACTTTCTGTGATCGGCTTTTGTTTTTTCATTTGTTCCAAAATCGTGACATGAGATTGCGAAATGAAACCATTTGTTACTAATTGCTCGAAGATATTTTGATAGATATGATGGTAAGGTTAATCAAATGTTTCAAAACAATCTGTCGAAATCCCTAAGGTGTTTAAATCGAACTCGGAAAACCTATTTCAACCCACCTCATCACGTATTTAACCCTTCTTATCCAACAAACCGCATTAAAACATACTTGATCTTTAAAAACAAAACAAAACAAAAAAAAACTAAAAATAGGTTTACACTTGATAAAAGAAAACAACTAATGATCAAAATTATAAAATTGTTTATAAAGACTCAATAGTATTTTTAAAACATATTTAACATAAACATTATTAAAACATACATGTACTTTCTTTTGAAAAAAAACAACAACAAGGAAATATAGATTTACACCTGATACATAAAAAACAACTTTTGATCAAAATCATAAAATTGTTAGAAAATACTAATAGTATTTTTTTATTAATGGGCTTTAAGATGACAGTGGGCGTGTATAGAGGTTGAAACGTCTGATCACCCAGTTCATGCAATTTGATTGGTGTTTTAAAATGATTCCGACCAATGGAATTTGAGGATTTAACACGTAATTCTAAAGAGATCCCTATATCATTCATAAATAATACTGTCAGCTACAGTCGTGTGTGTCACGCTTAAAATGCAGTTTTTAGGGTGTTTTTGTTGTTGTTGTTGTTGTTGTTTTCTCGGACAGGATATATTTCACAATTACATGTCGTAGGAAAAGAAACATGTAACGCACATTGATGTAGTTTAGTATACTTTATTTGAATAATAATAATAATAATATAAAAAAAAATAATATCTAGATACGCCATTGTAAAACAACAAATAACAACATACAAACCTGATCGATGGGTACGGTACAACACCATCACATATTACTTACATAATAATTTTGCTCTACTTTATTCTACTCTAACAAACAGTTTTTATTTTATTATATTAATTTTGTATTATTACCTCAGATAGATTATAAAAACACCAACCTTTTCCTCTAGCTGTTATAGTCACGCGAGCTACCAATTGAATTAAATGGAAAATAGTTTCCAATTAATTTGAGCAACCACAGAGATATAGTATCGTACATGCAGAATCGGTTAATAAGATAAATTTTCTAACAGAACTGTGCTGAAACAAAATCAATATCAGAAATTAGAATAGCTGTTTTCTAATTTTAGACTGATGTGAGTCTATTAAGGTAAAATAGTATGACAAGATGCAGTACTGAAACTGTTACAGAATAATAAAAGCCATTTATTGTATACTGATATATGAAATATTGAGAAATATTGATGAAAATAAAATACATATTTTCATTTTTCGTGTTTTCACTTTAAAAAATAGTTTTCACTGCAGTGAAACATATTTTCCATATTTTCACTGGTGTCTTGCTGGACGACTATCGTAAAGGGGGGGGGGGGGGGGTTGGGGTCTTTCAAATGTAATGTCAAAAACACAGGCGGCAGTATCAGTGTTTGGACACCCCACCCCTATCTGCCCCTGGCCCCCTTCTACAACCCTGAAAAAAAAATTCAACACTCTTAGGCTTACTATCAGGTACCAAATACAAAACCACCGATGAAATTATATATAAAAAAAAATTTCCACTATCAAAATTATAGTTATAGACTATCTATATCTATAATTTTGATAGTGGAAAAAATGGGGTGTCCAAACACTGATACTGCCGCCTGTGGATTTAACGGTTGAAACGTTAACTAATTAATCCATCACAAATAAAGTCAGACTGCATAAGGAGGGTCTTTCAAATAGAATGTATTCGAAAGACCCTGTTAAAAGTACATGCATTTCCAATACATTATGTTTTATGATTTATTTATTTATTTATTCATTCATTCATTCATTCATTCATTCATTCATTCATTCATTCATTCATTCATTCATTTCAATGCATGTAATATTTCAATTGCGATCCAGCCTCAAATACATCCCCAGGGACAGTAAGAGAGTCCATGGGGTTGTTACTTTTTGAACCTTTTATCTTTTACCGCGGATCAATGCCCCTAATGTTAGTAAAGGTATATGTATGTTCAACTTGAAGGGTGGGGCTTTATTTCTTATTACTTCGGATGCGGCATTTTCCGGTTGGGGTAGGGATAATATTTCCAATGTATCCTTCTTTCATAACTAACTGATGCATAATGTTCTATTAGATTGTTACTGAAAACGTACTGAAACCAAAAGGTTCTCTTCCTAGTAATGACTGGACTTTAGAAGGACACAAGTACTTATATCCCATGACCATCCACGGAAATGGCCGGAAAAGTGCGCTTTCAAGTAGTTTTTATCTTATTAATCATTTAAATTGTTCATTGCAACAAAGTTCCTAGAAGCATCATTCCTAGAAGTGGGACCCGTTTAGAGTATATTAATATATAGTTACGTATTAAGGCGTTTATTCTACCATAAATTAGTGCAAGACATGCCTTATTCGCCATCCTAGCTATATTATATCATACCTTGATATTATTGCTTCTTAAGGCTATTTTATAGTTTAAAATACAGTATTCAGTGTCCGAACATCCAAACGTTTCTAAGTTATTATCGCTTATTAGACATCACACATACTCATGGGTGAAATTAAATGTTCATTTCCATTATTAAAATACAATGATGAAAGATTTGGGGGAATTGTTTATGCGTGAAAAACTGATGTACCATATATTTATTGCAATAATTGAACTACAAAGATTTCTGTAATATACCTAATCTAATAAGAGGCTTGGCCAGCAATGTATAAGTGATGTCATTTGGCGGGATTTATGCGGATGCAAGCCTTGAATTACGCATGCGCACAATTATCAAAACAAAAAATATGGCGTCCAACAGAACTACGGAGTAAAAAATTCAGTAGAAAATTGAGTTTTATAGTCAAACAAATCACACGAAAAAGTTATTTGCACATGTATTGTTTACAAGAATGCTAGACCTTGAGGTTGTACCCGAGCGATCTCTAGGAAATGAACAATGGGAGTTTGTATTGGGTGAGTCTCAATGGTTGTCAGTGACCCAAAATTTGGTTGTCAAAAACGTAAACAAACCATTTTACCTAAGCCTAAGGTAAAAAAGATATAGAAATATGCCTAGATATTTTCTTTATAAACATGGATTATTGTCCATACTTTGTTCTTGGTCCATTATTTTCAATTTGGACACTGACACAAAGGATGATAAATTTATGAAGGTGAAGGTCCTTTGGTAAACAGCTGATGTCATGTAAAATATTTAGACATTCCACATAATTTATATAATGCAAATTTTGATCAAATCTCAAAAAGAAAAAAAAATGTTCAAATGCCTGACCAAAAAGTTTTACAAAAATCTCTTCTATGTTAAACAAAATTGCAAATACGATCGTAATCATGTTAACGGTAGTCACAATATTTCGACTGCAAGACTGACCAAATTAACAAAATTATATTTGCTCGTCACAATAAAACCAACATAGTGCGTATGCAACCGGCATGGATCCAGACAAGCCTGGGCATTTGTGCAGTCCGATCAGGATCCATATTGTTTGCTTACAATCCCTATAACAAGTAGAGAAACTTATAGCGAACAGCATGGATCCTGATAAGATCCTTGCTGGTTCCAAACCCATTGTGTTGTTTTTTTTAAGACATGGCTCATATTACATAGAAGTTGGTCTTTAAGCAAAGGGGGACCATCATCTATAAATAATAAGATAAAAAATTCCTGGCGCACAATTTTTTGGACGGGTTAAGCATTTATATTTCTGCAAAAACTAATGATAGGCCTACTGTCTTGATCTCATCGATTTATCAATTTCATAAAATAAATATAAAAAAATGACAGTTCTGGCATGCCAGCAGTTCCTGTACAGAAGCAGTAACAGTATTTTTCGTTTAAACGCTTGAATTTAACTTGCATTCTTCAACAATTGATAACAAATCAAGCAGATGCCTAAATGAGACTAACTCTAAGTGTCAAGTCAGCAGTATGTATAAAAGTTTAATTTTAAATCACTTTCGCCTGTGTGTTGTCAGAACGTGACATTGTTTACTTTTGGGGATTCCGTCCTTGTGCGCATGCGCAAAAATACTTTAATTACATGTGAGGCCAGTTACAGGGTTTTCCTCTAATAAGTAGGCAATGCGATGAAAACTTGTTTAATTATCAGAATTTTTACCTATATTACTATATTTAATAATTTTTTACTTTAATTTGTAAAATATCATGAATACAAGCACGCCATTGCATGTGAATGCGTTGCATAACAGTACCGGGTAATAGATACTGGTCAGCGTTAGTCTACGCTCTATTTCCTGAATTACATCTATTTCCTCTCGGAATGGTCTGTCCAACAATTATAAATGAAAAATAGTTCAGATATACAATGTAGCAACATTGTATAATTATAATCAGTTATATTTTATGTATGGGAACTACTTCTCTTCATACAAAATAATGTATTATTTTGGAACCTCATATGAGGCCTCATATCTAAGGATTATTCTATGTTTACAACATAATGGAATTTCCATGATTTGTGTGACAAGCCAAATATCAGGGCTTTTTTTCACAGATTTGGGAAGTAGCCCAGCCCTTATTTTAGGGGAAAAATTATAAGGTATATTTGCAAAAGGGGAAGAAAAAACTTGATGTTAATTCAATTTTTGGGGAAAACTGCATGATTTTAAAGAATTTTTTAATGGGGAAGCAGCCCTATACCGGCCCCTGTTATAGAAGGGAAAAAGGCCCTGAATATTGATGTGTAACATTCATTTTTTTGGTGAGTGAGCTTAATAAAAAAAACATTTAAGTACTACGATTTTTATATGGGAACTGCTAGCAAGCCAGTATATATACTCAGGAAAGTATACAAGTCACTCTACTATCCATTTGATGTTCTAATAACTATATGTGTATTAAGTCATCAATCATTCTCTGGCTGTTTTGATTGTGATCAGTACACATTTATCAAAGATTTCGAAATATATATTGACAGGATTGGACAGAAAATAACCAAACATTGAGTGTTGCAGACACCTGCATCTTTATTTTAATTTTTTAACTTTTCTTAGTGACATGCTGACTGTCTATGTCCTCACGGAGGGTTTGACAGAAAAGAAAGAGAGATAGATCTTGACGTTGGAACACCATATCCCGTTAACGGAAGCCCTGGTTTTGCATGCTTCTTTCAAGTTGTGATGTCATTACTTTGGTTTTAATGTACATGTAGGAAAAAAATCATAAGTTATTAAGTATTATAAATAATCGTAAGATCAAATTAGGTCTTGGTGTGGTGGAGAATTAAAATATTACGTTATTTTGGCACATTCCCGTCCCCAAAATGTATGTTTCCCAAACATTAAAAAAATCCCTAAGTAATTGCGCAGTTTATTGCAAGATGATTTTACATTTTCTCAACTAATTTTGTGAAATTTTTTATAAAATGTATTGTGTATGTTGTAGGTATGCCGTTTTACCAAGCAGTGAATATATTAAAAAGACAGGATCGAGTGATCAAAGGAGTTCAAGTATGGTACAGCAATCAGGTATTGTTTATTTTAGATTAGTTTCCTCACTTTGTGATGTGTGAGAGAGGAAAGTTCATGTTTGCGCTTGACTGTACGATTTAGTCGCAAGTGGAGAGCACGAGTGACTTAATTGTCAAGTTAATCACAAACATGGACATAGCTATTTAGCACACATTAATATGGTCTTTTCCTCTTGTCCATTCCAGTGTTGTTTTGTTTTAGTAGCCTTTGGGATCTATATTGCATGGTTCTCTGCTTTAAGGTAAAGTTTGTTACTGAAATTTTTACTCAACTCTTCCATGTATAGTACCACATTGAACAATGCATGGTAGACCATATTGACTTTAAACAAATACCAATTTGCTACATGTATCGGATAAGCAGGACAGATCATTTGCGAAAGATGCTTTATTTGTATCTGTTTTTAGCTCACCTTTCACAAAGTGACAGGGTGAGCTTTTGTGATCACTTTTCGTGCGGCGTCCGGCTGTAAACTTTTACTTTAAATGACATCTCATAAACCACAAAGCCAATTTCATCCAAACTTCACAGGAATGTTCCTTTGGTGGTCACCTTTAAAAACTGTTCAAAGAATTTAATTCCATGCAGAACTCTGGTTGCCATGGCAACTGAAAGAAAAAACTTTAATTATCTTCTTTTAAAGAACCGTAAGAGCTAGAGCTTAGATATTTTGCATGAAACATCTTCTAGTGAGTGTCTATCAAGTTTGTTCAAAAAAAAGCCCTGGGGGTCAAAATTGGCCCAGCCTCAGGTAGTCATTGATTTTCCCTATATGTAAATAGTAAAAACATAAAAAATCTTCTTTTAAAGAACCCGAAGAGCTATAGCTAAGATATTTAGCATGAAACTTCTTCTAATGAGTGTCTACTACGTTTGTTCAAATAAAAGCCCTGGGGTCAAAATTGGCCCTGCCCTGAGGGTCATTGATTTTCCTTATATATGTGAATAGCAAAAACTTAAAAAATCTTCTTTGAAAAAACCTATATAGCTAGAGTTTAGATATTAAGCATGAAACATCTTCTAGTCTACAAAGTTTGTTCTAATAAAAGCCCTGGGATCAAAACTGGCCCGCCCCAGGCGTGTCATTGTTTTTAACTATATGTGTATAGTAAAAACTTAAAAAATCTTCTTTTAAAAAACCCAATGAGCTAGAGCTTAGACATTTAGCATGAAACATCTTCTTATGGGTGTCTACCAAGTTTCAAATAAAAGCCCTTGGGTTTAGATTGGCCCTGCCGGTGGGGTGGGGGGCTATATACTGGTGAGCGACCTCAGGGCCATTATGGCCCTATTGTTGAATATCAGGCTAAATTTTCTGCTCTAGTGTTTCACTGGTACTGGAAAATGTCATCTTATATTCTTTGAGGCTGTTACAACAGTATTTAGATTTTATTTTCTTTAGAGAACCCTCAAATCTGAATGAAATCCATTTATTAATAATATCTGTCATATTTTGCGGTTCGGATCGGAATATCCATCCAGAGGTGACCCGCCCATGGATGGGTGACTGAGGGAGGGATATTAAATTCCGAACCACAAACATATGTTAGATATTTTTTCTTGCATATTCTACCATATTCCATTATATTTTAAATTCTTTATCTTTATTTTCATAGAAAATTTATATCATTACAACAGCGTATAAATTGCAACTTCATTCATAACGGTAAAATGACGTCATCTTAAGCGTGCACTGTCATTGTACAGCATGAGACTCATCTGGCACCCCCCATGCCAAATAAAATTTTTGGCATGGGTAAAACTCATGGAACGCCAGTCTGATATTCAAGAAACTGTTGTATGGCTGTTTTTGGTATTGTCTATTCTGAGAGAAAAATGTTTAAAAGTTTACTACAAATCTGACCAAGACTTAAATTTAGATCTTATTTCGTTACCAGTAACTCATTTTTACCTTCTAGCCGATTTGGATTTTTCTTTGTAAGGCTATTTTTAGCAAACCATACAGAGAAGCATTTTACGGAAGTGGCTACTGATTGGTTGATTAAAAGGTCACAAGAAAGTGACCTCCCATCTTTCACCATCAGATCCATAAGCTTGGCATTATTTAGGAGCTGATTTTTAATCAGAATAATTTAATAGAATATTTGAAGTATTATGAAAGGTAAATGTAGGGTAACTTCTTGTTGTGAATGTTTTTTTAAGTGCTAAAATTGATGACTATTGTGCATGTGTTCTAGAATTCTTGTGGTTATGGAAACTATCTTGGTTCTTTCATTTTTGTGTCGCCTTGAAGAAGGTGACATATACGAGGGGTGTCCCAGAATTACGTGGACTTTTGCTGTAACTCAAAAACCACTGAAAATAAAAACAAACAAAATTAACATGAACAAAATGCAACTTTATTGCATTAGTACAAAAAAAATTCAAAGTTGTCCGGCAACTGGATCAGTGTCTGTGGGCAGGGTAATGAGACAAGGGGTAGCGGGTGCGGGGCAGTCGATTCCGACGTTACGACGTCATTCCGGTGGCGTCGCTAGTTGTTAATAAATGCGTGGCGTCAAATGTCAGTTTTTCTCAACATAGTCGCAGCCTAACTCAATACACTTATAGTGTCGATATATCCACTGGTCGTACACCGCCCTGTACCACTCCTGGTCGAAATCAGCCACCACTTTCTGCGTTGCAAACGAGAGTTCCTGGAAGGAATGGAACTTCCGTCTCTTAAGTGCCGACTTCTCAGTTGGAAATACCCGGAAGTCCATCGGCGCCATATCCGGCGAGTAGGGTGCGTGCTCCAGAATCTGAAAATACAGAAGATTGATCTCCAGCCTGGTGGATGCTGCGTTATGGCTTGGCGCGTTATCTTTGGGCAGCAACACCTGATCCAAGGGAAGGTTGGGCCGCTTCCGACGCAAGGAACGCACAAGATCTCGCCGTAACACCTGACAAATAGACAATTTATCTACTAAGTAAGCGATATTGTACATATACTTAATCCGCAAATAATAATAATGATAATAATAATAATATCGCACACGTCCCGCACAGTGTAACGCCTGTCCCGATCTATGACGTCCTTGACTTCATTAATTGACGCCGCAGTCAACGTTGACTTTCTCCCACGATCCTTGTCGTCTTCAATGTCCTCCCGGCCGTCTCAAAAACGCTTATGCCACTTGAAAACGAGTGATCGACAAACAGGAGGTCTCACTTTTGCAGTTTCCAACATTTCCTGCGTCTGTGTTGGCGTCATCCCAAGATTAACACAAAACTTGATGATAGTCCGATGTTCCGCGTAATCCATGGACGTCATTTTTTGTTTAATATCCAAGAGCAACGGTTGACAGTTGTCCGCTGGTAAACAATAACGGAAACAGCTATGACGTCAAAATTTCGAACGAACGTTAATATGACGTCACTGCATATGCTTACGACGTCGCGCCATTTTTTACGTATAAATACGCAAGATATATGAAAGTAAAGACAACTTATTAATACAAAATATTGGACTGCCCCGCCCTGCGCATACTGCGTTACTATAGCGACGTAAAATATAGAGAAGCAATGTTAGAAATTTAAAAATAATGGACATATTCATTAAGGATATGTTAAAGGTATTGTGTACAAATTTGCTATAAAAGCTATGGACATGAAACTTCATGGGATGATAGATCTCATTAAGTAGAAGTGCAGTGCCCAAGAACTGGTACTCTGCATTTCTTATTTTTTGAGTTATTGCCCTTGTTAATTTTGTGAATTATACCTGGTTTTGTCCAGACCTAAAAAATTAATAAGCTGCCTTTTGTTACTAATTCCCTATACATGGCATTTGCAAGTTCTCAAGGCTAATAGACACAAGCTATGGCAAAAGGTTTGATATGAAAATTAAATTATCATGATTTGATCACCTTTCATGCCAGTTGGCAAACAATTGCACTTTGATATAATGTTGAAACGAATTTTGATCAGCATCAGACAAACCATTTAACCGTCACAAAGTTTTGATCAGGATCAGACAAACCATTGTAAGTAAAGCATTTTCCAAAAAAAAAAAGCTCACAAATGCATTATAATGCAGTTATCCCGGAAATCCAGTCTGGTAGACCGACACTGAGAGATGACTAAAAATATGTTTAAAAAATCGGCATAAAATCCAACCAATCAAATAACCATATCATATAGAAAAACAGTTTGTTATTTGCTCTCAATATGTGTCATATTTTGTTGGTTCAGAACAGTTGCATGAATCCAATAGGTTTTCATGTTTTACTATGTTACAGCAACAAGCAAGAATGTACTGGTTAAATTTTTTCTAAATTCTGTCTCTAATCTGAGGATTCTCATTGGTCAGATTTCATTCTGTGTCAGTTTCTGACTAGTTAAAGTACTGTAGAACTTAAAGTTTGAGGAGAGGAATGACGTGTTTCACTCCCTCTTTACACTTAAACTTGAACCAGACAGATAGCGAGAGTAAAATTTTTATAGTTTTTATAAGGGATTGCAGTGAGTACCGATTTCTGTTACTGTAACACATGTAATTGGTTATTCTTCTGATTAAATATTGAGTTATTCAGAAAATTTTTTAGGACAACAGAAATGTATAACTGTTTTCCATCTATCTTCCATTTCTTTCAAGCCAATCACAAAAATGAACACATAATTTATTTATAAGAATGACACTGTCAGCATTCCACTTTCGTTTCTTTAATTTGATAGTACTAAAAATCTGAGGAATGTGCCTTGAAAATAAAAAGAAAAAATATAAACTATTTAATTTTTTTTTATGCCCCCACAATGTGGGAGCATATAGCGTTGCACTTGTCCGTCCGTCCGTCCGTCAGTATGTCCGTCCGTCCGTCTGTCCGTACGTCCCGAAATCTTGTGAACGCAACTCCTCTTAAACCGGATGGCAGATTTTGCTTAAACTTACAGGGATGAACAACCTTAATGTGTAGATGGTAGTAAAGGAAGGAATTTTCGCTGCGATCAAATTTAACAGAATTATGGCCCTTTGTTGATTTTTTCATTATATACTA